TAATAAATTCTTTTTTGCTATTAATTAAAAAAAAATATAAGTGTGTCAGGAGCCCTGTTCCATGCAGCCCAAGTAGACACCAGAGTGGGAGCTTGGAGACGCATCTCCCAGCCTCACCCATGTGCTCAAGCAGTGGAAGATTTCTTCCTGTGCAGCGCACACACCGCTCCGGAAGTCAGCCCCCAGAGCTCACCATTCAATAACTTTGTATTCAACCAACAACAAACTGAAAATATTTTTTTTAAAAAGTGCATCCAGGGTCTGAGGCAGGAGGATCCTTGCAAGTTTGAGACCAGGCTGGGCTACAAAGTGAGCTCAAGGCCAGCCTGAACTGCATAGTGAGACCCTGTCCCAAAAAAAGACAAACTGAATGCAGAGAGGGTTTCTTGGTCATTATGTCCTAAACAATGCAGTATAGCAATTATTTCCTCAGCATTTACCATGTGTTGGGGATAGTAAGTAATCTAGAGAGGATTTAATGCCTATGGGAAGATGTGTGTAGGTTTCATGCGAATATTACACCATTTTATACAAGCGTCCACAGATGTTGGGATCCTTGGGGGTTCTGGGACTGATCCTGGGATACTGAAGGACAGCTGAGATGGCTCAGGAGAAATTTTACAAGAATGGTCTTCAATCTTTCCCTCAACTGCCTCACACAGTGAGTCAATCACTCCACGGCCTCCAGTGGCGCTGAGCTAAGACAATGTTCATTCCAACAGGAGATGCTGGGAGCTGTGGGCAGGCACAGAGCAGAGTGAGGCACACCCCAAGGGGCAAGGAAGTGGCTGCAGGCGGCTTTGTCTCTTGAGGTGGTGCTGGAGCTGGCTCTGGGAGCTTTTGGGGAGAAGGGCCTGGTAGCTGCAGAGGAAGCTGGAGGCGATTAGGACAGAAGGCGGGGTGCATTCTGGGAAGATACCTGGTGTGGATTTTTAAAAAGAGTTGCCCAAAAGAACAGGGACCCGAACAGATACTTGCACACCCATGTTCACAGTAGCATTGTTCACAGTTGCCCAAAGCTGGAAGGACCCCCGGTGTCCATTGCTGGCAAAGGGATAAACAAAACCAATAATGTGCAGTTTTAAAAAGAAACGACACCCTAACCCCCACGACAACACACTCTGCTGAACCTTGAGAACAAGGTGCAAAGTGAAATCTGTCACCAAAGGGCAAAAACCATGAGTATGGTTCCATTCAGCTGGACCCGGGTCACCCCATTCAGAGGAGGAAGGTCGGATAGAGGGGCCTAAGAGAACAGGGAATCAGTGCTTCCATAAGGACAGAGTTCAAATTTGGGAGGGTGAGAAAGCTCTGGAGATGGATGGTGGTGATGACGGCATAGTGTAAATGTGTTTGGTACCAGTACTTAAAAGTAGCTTCGAGGGTCAATTTTATATTATGTGTATTTTATCACAGTTTTTAAAACAAACGGGTCAATGCTTTAGAATTCCTTAGATTCCTCCACCCCAAAGCACATTCTCTCGTCTTTCCTACCCGTCTCTGACTCTGATTGGGATGAGATCCAGTCCTCAACAGCCTGGACCCTGCAAAGGCCACACTGACTGACTGACAGGCCAGTCTGTCACATGGGGTTATTTTGAGGAGGATGAAGTTTACAGAATAGGCTCAGAAATGTGAAGGCAGGGTGGGAGGCTATCACGCTTTCAAGGTGACTATGTGTTTCATCTCCATGTTCAACTCCTAATGTGGCCTCAGTTTCCCATCTTCCCCCTGGGGGAGAGGCTGGTATGTCGCAGCACTTCGCAGCTATTCTATCTCCACGCAGCAGATCTCACTTGCAAGGCCACGGAGACCAGGAAGGCCCGCCCGGCCGAGCAGCATTCCTCCCCTACCAGCAAGGATTTGGATCTTTGGAGAGCAAATTCTGTTTGCTTCTCATGTGGCAAACCCAATGTCAAGAAAGCCGGACTGCAGGCTTCGAGGAGAACAAAACAAACCTGATCTCCTGTAATCTACCTGGCCTGGAAAGCCTGGCATTGTGTGGCTGCTCCTGCCAACTGGAATTTCTGCTGCAGCTGGGTCCTGTTCACACACTGGGCCCCAGCAGGCCATGAGGTTTTCTTGGAACTGGTGCCTCCCCCGTGGCCTACTTAAAAGGCTGCTCTGAGCCAGCCAGGTGTTCTTTAAGCCCTCGTGAAGAGTCCTCGATCAGTTAGACAAAAAGGTTGCTTAAAAAGAATGAGACCTGGGGCAACTGGAATGTTCTTGAGGCCCAGCCACTGATTTCAAAGGATCAACAAATGACAACAGCAGAAATGGGGCTGGGGACCAGAGCCGCCACCCATGACAGATCCACCCTGAAGAGCTGGAGGAGCTTCATGACTCTGTGTGTGTGTGTGTGTGTGTGTGTGTGTGTGTGTGTGTGTGGCGGGAGGAGAGGTACTGAGTATTAAACTTGAGGTTTTTGCACTGAGCTACATCCCTAACCTTTTTTAAAAATTTTATTTTGAGACAGTGCCTTGCTAAGTCACTAAGTTGCCCAGGCTGGCTTGAACTTGTGATCCTCCTGCCTCAGCCTCTCAGTGACAGGATTATTTCTGCACACCTGGCTCAAACATTTTTACCTCAGTCTGCAGCCAACAGTCCTTGGCTTAGAGACCCTAGCCACCCCAAACTGTCAGTTGCAGCCCATAAACTATTCCTGGAGCTCTTGGTACAGACAGAATTCCAGGCAATGCCTGAGCCTTCCACTCCTGTAGACACAAGTCCACAACGGGCCGAATGGGTCTATGTGGAGGTCTGCGGAGCCTGTGCAATGCAGGAGGGCAGCAGCTAGGGTGGCAGCCTGCCTCATCCCAGGACAGGACACCCTGCACCCTGTCCCAGGCCTGGGAGCCAGCCAGGGCATAGGTGCCAAGCATTTCTGAGCTCAGTCCTGCCAGGTCAGCTGGTTCACATGTGTCCACCTGTGGTGCTGGCCATGCTGAATGCATACTGGATGAAGCTGAGAACAAGGACAGAGCAGCAGAGTTCTCCAGGCCAGTAAGATCTGCCCCATCCCCATACAGCACCCCGCTTTGAGACCATACAGGCCCAGCTGTGCCCTGGCAGCAGGGGGCCTCTCCGGCCCACCTGGAGTTCACAGCTTCTGGCTTTTTCTCATGCGGGGCTTCCAGGTTTGGAGCTGGACAAGAAGTTTCTGGAAATGTTGGGGAAAGAACTGGGAAGAGGGGAGACAGGAAGCTGGATTCACAGCAGTGCATGTGCAGTATAACACCTGGAGCACGAGGAGCTCCATTGGTCATAGCTGAAGTGCTCCCACGTTCTCCTGACACACAAGCTCGAAAGCGTCAAGGGGAAAGACCAGCCTAGGGAATTCTGGTGGAAACTGAGATCCAAATGGCAGAACCCCAAGTCCTGCCCCAGCAATGCCCCTACAAGTGAGCTCAGAGGTGGCGGATATTTTACTGAGGTCTGCTCCTTTCACAGCCCCTTTCCGTTTCTCTGAAGCAAATGTCAGTGGCTCCCTCTGGAAGAAACCAGACACTGCATGGAGGGACACAGCCCCAAGTCACCACTCTTGCCGTGCAAGAGCCCTGGGGAAGCATGCAGAATCTGGGGATGGGACACCTGCCAGCTTGTCTGCCCTAGTGATACAGGACAAAAGTCCAGGGCCCCTTGGGCAGGAGGACAGGAGAAAGACGATCTGGCATTGAACCCAAGCAATTTTGCTGCCAGTATGCTTGCCCTCAAAGCCCATCTGGCACACACTCCACCCTGCCCTGTGCCATCTCACTTTTCCCACCAAAGAGAGCCCTGTCCCACCTCAGGGTTTCCTAACCCTGCTTCCTCCGAGAACCTTCCCTGACCACCTGAGGGGAAGTGAAGATAGGCTGAGCCCCACCCGATCCTGGGGGTTCAGCCTCCAGCTCCCGCCAAGTGTTGCTCTCTATGTCCCGGAGGAGAAGATAGGACCAGCATGGAGCCGTGCCCTTTGATCGTCCCGACGAAGATGCTTCTCCCCCTCCCCCGAGTCCTTTCCAGCATCTCTGACACCCACAGATGTGTCCTGTTCCCCCAAGCTAAGCTGGCCATCTGTCACTGTGACCCTCACGCCACAGGTGTGGCATGAGGAAGGATGAGGACGAGAAGGGATGATCTCTCTGCGTCATGAGGGTGGCTGGGCTCTGTGACCTCTACAGCCTCAGTAGGCTTGAGAAGTTTCTAAAATGCATGCTAAGCCAGCTATTCCCAGGGAAATGGAAGAACACAGCTGTAATTAACACCAGACACACACACATGTGCACACACACACACGGCAGCACTGACCAATCCATGTGCCAGGCTGGGCCCTATGGCTCTGCACATGGTGTCTGCGAGGGCCCTCACTCTGGGATCTGCCCCACTGGCCATGCTGGAGGATGATCAACACTGCTTTGGGAGAGGCTGCTCAGAGCAATAAACCTCCCCAGATACGAGGCTTCTGCTGCCAGGTGGGACGTGCAAGCTTCTCTAGAGCTTAGCGCTGCAGTTTCATGGGAAGCTGGTTCCACCTGGATCGAGATGTCATTTCTGACACAAGTAGAGATGGGAGTGATCACAGCAGGGCTGGCTCTACGATGATGACAATGACACTTCAGCACCCTGCGGTTCTGCTGGGAGGATGATAACCCTCCTGGCTCTCCCAGCAGAGGGGCTCTCTGGCCACAGGGTGGGCAACAGGCCAGGTGGTCCTAAGTCACAGCTCCTCCCTCTGGTGTCAAGATGAGGGAGCTGCGCTGCTCAGGGCTGGCAGGGCAGCATCCTCGCTCGGTTGATTAGTTTGACATGTGAGCACGCAATGGGCTAATTATGAAAGGTGTAAATCACACGGAGGAAGGGAGCAGGCACATCATTCAGGTTTATTACCAACACAGTTTAGGAAAAGATAACCAAGCCAGGCCTCCCCCACTCCCCAGTCACGGGTGGGGCGAGGAGGCGAGACTGCAGAGGAAGGAGAGAACACACCATCTAATTTTTCTTTGCTCAAATCGAGTGATCTCGCCAATTTCCTGGGAAAATGAAGAAAAATTTCACTAAAAAAACTCCAACTGCTTCCATGTGCCTCTGAATCCATGCGTCACATGCATGTGCCATTGTTCGACTTGTGATGTGCAGGAGATGCCGTACGGAGCTTTTCTACCTAACGCTATTACACAACGTTATTCATCGAGGGCTGGAGACTCCAGTGGCAGGAATCATTTGTTTTTCTTTTTCCCTTAAGGCATTTGCAAATATGCTTGGAGGCTAAGGGATGCTGAGTACATCTAATAAATAAAGCAAAATAATTAATAGCCTGTGCGGTCTGGAGACGGCATCGGCAGCTCGCACATCAGGCTGGTGAGGGCAGACTACTGTTTCCATCCCTTCTGGCTTCACCTTTGGGATATACTGAGCTATCAAGAAGGTAAGCAACAGCTTCCTGAGCTCAAGAAAGAAAGAAAAGTCAAATTGAACTCTGGCTCACCTAGATTTTATAGGAATTTAACATGGGTAAGCAAGCAGGGGAACTCAGAACCAAAGTGTTCTCATGGGTCTCTGAGCTCAGCGCCATATGCAATATTACACCTAGGAATTTTTTTTTTTTTTTTTTTTTGCAGTACTGGGGATTTAACCCAGGGCCTTTGCACTGAGCTATGTCTCCAGCCCCTTTTCCATTTTTTATTTTGAGATAAGGTCTTGCTAATTTGCCTAAGCTGGGTTTGAACTTACAATCATCTTGCCTCAGACTTCCAGAAGTGCTGGTATTACAGGAATGTGCTCCTGCACCTAGGAAACTGTATACAACCTAGAAAAGATGGGGATAGTTCTGGTCAGTGCTGGTCCCTGAGTGAGGCAGGACTGATGTGATCTACAGCAGTAATGTCCAGTGCTGTACAGAAAACCCCAGATGACATGCGCTTTACCGTACGGATTGTGGTTGCCGGCACCACTAGGGTAGTCATCGAGCGGCCTTTCAGAATGACACCATGGGAGGGGCTGTAGAATCACCAGAGCCCAAATCAGCTAGCTATCACCGGGGTGGGAAATGATGATGGTTCCTTCACAGCCACTGAGAAGCCCACCCTAGCCCACTGGACCAAGCAGAGCTGGAGGCCAGAGAATCACTAAGAAGCCAGGACCAGACCTTCAGGAGACCTTTGCGGGCTAGGGACTGTGCTATGGCTCTGCGTGAACCTGGGTAGTGGGCTCTGATGCCATGGTCACATGTACGGCCCTCACCCTGGAAACCCTGGGCTTCATCCCTCTCTGCACTGGGCACTGCACTTCCCCAGGCTGTGGCCCACACACCCCAAGGACCGGATAAGCAGCTCGCCCTGCCACTGACGGTTGCCTCTTGGGTTGTGGGGACCTCTGTGGCCTCTTGGCAGGTCCCGCTGCTCTGCAAAAATGGAATAATCACCACCCAGGCTGGTGGCTTTCCCACTTTGCTGTGATGTTCCCTTAGGCAATTTAAAAATGGAATGAATACTAATAATAATTTGACTAAATTTAGGTGATCCCCTTAGGCAGCTGATTAAATTTCATGAACTCTTTCTCAGGCGTTCAGCCCAAATTCCCCTTCTCTCTCTTCTTGGTGACAGGAACTTCCAGTCAGGCAGGGTCAGTGGATTCCACCTAGTGGGCTGAAGCTGTTCTTCCAAGGGCGATGAGACAGTCAAAGAAGGTTGTGGGGAACAGACAGAGGGAGTCTGCGTTACCTTCATTGGTCGAGGGACCAAGATTTGTCCAGAAAAAGAGCCTGTGCTCATAGAACCTGCAGGTCCTAAAGGGCCTTAAAGAGCTTCAGGTTACGTCTACTTGTTTCCAGTAAGGACTGAGGTATGAGGAGGGCAGGGATCAGCTGAGAAATTCCTCTGGGGGAGGGGGCATAGGACCAGAACCTTCGGATTCTGAGCCCCTGGGTTTTGTGTCACAACACGCAACTCTGTCCTGCCTTTCCACCAGTCTGAGGTCACCTGAGGCACCTCCAGACACCCTGAGGCCTGAATAGCTCTCTCAAATACTCCTCCAGCCACACTCTTAAGAGTGACACCCCTGGGGCCCCAAAAGCTGTACCCCACCCTATGATGTCAGTCCCTGCCGGCCTGAAGGGGACCCTGGGAATTGATGTTGAGCCAACCTAGGACCAGAAGCTGCCTGGGGCTGTGAGTGCCAAGGCTGGGGTCAGCAATGTGACCATGGCCCTGAAGGGAATGTGTGTTGCTCTCTACTCCTCCCAACCCAACATCCTCCACTGGGCCCTGGCCGTTCTTTATATTCACCCCAATTCTACCCACTTGCCTGGCTCCAAGGGCTGACTCACAGATCACTAAGTACGGCAGATGTGAGAGCAGCCTTGCTAGGGCATCGGCCCTCCCTTGCTCCTGTGCCCACTCACACCTCTCTGTCCCCAGAGCCTGGTCTCAGGTGGGTCAGCAGCACCCTTGGCTCAGCACACAGGACCAAGCAGGATGAGAGCCCTGGTCGGCAGGATGAGAGCCCTGGTCGGCAGAATGCTCTCAGAGCAGGCGGCTGCTTCACAACGGACAGCAGGACGGCAGGCTCAGGAGGGCTGCTTCCAGCAGCCCAGGCCTGGAAAGGTGGGTCAGGGCGTCACGTCAGGCCCAGGCTTCCCTGCGGTTGGGGCTCTTTAGAGTTGGCTACAGAGTCGGTAGGACAGAGACATGAGAAGAGGGGTGCTGGCAGGTCCCAGGGAGACGAGGCATGTCCTTGCAGTGCCTCCAGGAAAGCCACTGCATGATGGCAGCGGGGAATGAGGGTTAACGCCTTTTCCTCTGGGCAGCTTTTCCCAAAAGACCTCGAGTGACCCAACATGCAGAAATATAATACCCCAAACCAGCAGCTACAAAGAAATGCAAAGGAATATGATTTTTAGCCCACCCAATTGGCAATAAGCTCATTTCTAAAGGAGTAGGGGCTCTGCAATGAAGCCAAAGCTTCCTGCAGTCACACTGTGGGTGTGTTGGTCCCCTCTTCTCCAGCAATGGCCACTCGTGCAGACACTTGCCCTGGAAAGCCCTCTGTTCTGTCATCCCTGGCCTTGATGGCAAAGAGCTCCAGGGACCACTGACCTCAGTGGATGTCTGCACAGGCATATACGGCCTCGGTATGCTATGTGAACACATCTGTGTACAACCTTTGTGCAGGCAGGCATGAGATTATGCAGCAAGCCTTTGTTCGGCACACATGTATGCACAAGCCTGTGCGTGTTGCGTGTGTCTGAGCGCCCACATAGTCGAACCTCCCGGCACACCTGAATTTGTCCACAACCAACACTCAAACCATTAAAGCAGGAGCCAGGCAGCTAACTGAGGCTGGAAGTTCTCTGTCCCAGCTTCCGCTCTGGGAATCCATGAAAGCACAAACATGCTCATCAGGGACTGGCAGGAGGCCCTTGGGGTGCTGTGTGGCCTGAGGAATGAAGGCCTTCCTAAAGACAGCAAGTGTGGTGCTGGCAAAGCTGACGGATCCTGGACTGGGCATCCCAGGGTAGGACTTGAGGTCAGGGTACACACAGGCTCCCCTTGTACAGCAATGGACACATGTGAAGATGTTGAACACATCTGGGGGTTCCTCAGCACGACTCAGGTCCCCCTGCACCAAAGATGTATTTGAGAATTGTCATGGTGGCATTGTTCAGAAAAAAGGCCCCCCAAGAGCCCCAAAACATCCTCAGTGGGAGGTGGGCAAACTGGGGTACAGCCTAGAACATTCCAATGCAATCAGAGTAAAGGGGCCATGAACCTCAGGCACACCTCGCTGGCCAGAGGAGCATGATTTTATTTCGCTCCAGATCAGAGGAAACCAAATGACACGTGGGTGAGACAGCAAGAGGGCAGGGAAACAGTGCGCAGAGCATCTGCCCAAGTGGGCAAGGACGTGGAGGAATGTGCCTGGGTAGCTGGTAGATTCTGGTCCATGTAGTGAGGGGCAGTAGGTCATGGGGACTTATTTTACTGTTTCATGTTGTTACATAGATTCCTTTGATGTATCAAACATAACGTTAAAAAAAATTAAAACAATAAACCAAGTCTGTCTACAATACTATCAAGTCAGTTGGGCATCAGAAACAAACTAGAAATAAATGAAAATGGATAGAGAGATACATGAATGACGGTGTGCGGGGGGCAATGGGCCTGGGCAGTAGTTTATCTTTTTTTTGTGTGTGTCTTTTTAAGACAAGGTCTCACTGTGCAGTTCAGGCTGGCCTTGAGCTCACTTTGTAGTCCAGGCTTGTCTTCAACTCGCAAAGATCCTCCTGCCTCAGCCTCCAGAGGGCTGGGATTACAAGCATGCGCCACCACACCCAGCAGTAGTTTATTTTTTATCTTTGCCCAATTTTCCAAAATTTCTTTGGTGAACACATGTTACTTTTAGAATTAAAAAAAAAAAGCAAAAACAAAACCCCTCCAAAACATGGAACATATCAAAGGAAAAAAAAAAAAAAAACAAGCCCAACCCGTTCCATAAAACAAACAATAGCCTCAAGCAATCAGCCCATGGGGTCAATGCAGAGGTACACCAGGTCAAAGGCCGGGCTCTTCCAAGATGAAGGGTACACCCATCACCTCCTTCCACTACCCGGGCAAGCCTGGCATCCTCCTGAAAGCCAGGGGATAGTCGCTATGGGCCAGAGGACGGATTGCAGCATGAATGACACCAGAGCCACGAAAACAAAGTGACAAAGGACAGAGCCTGAGCTGATCTGAAACATTAGAAGCGGATTCTTTGCAGCTTTGGAGGAGGAAATTCTGAAGTCACGGCTCTGGGGAGGACACCTCCCGCCCCCGCCCCGCTCGGCTACTTCTGGGGTTGCGGCCGGCCTCTGCACACTCCGAGCCCAGGCTCCCGGGAACATCTCGTGACACAGTCTGTCTGGACAAGTGGGCACCATCCCTTCCCTTTGCAGGGGTGCTGCTGCTCTGGTCAGAGACGAGGGCTGAGCTCCCACAGGCCGGGTTTGCCTGGTCCATTTTTGTGGAGCGCCATTTGCTTTTTCAGTGTGCATTTCCCATCGTAAACTGTGCTAAATGCTATTTAGTAGCTAATTAACTTTCCGTGTGAAGACCTCTCTAATTGCACGCTCTCCGCCCTCTGCCCGGGTCCTCTGGGGACGCCAAGCTGTCCTAGGGCATTGGTTCTGCCGGCTCCTACCTCTCAGGCGCAACTTCGAGCCGACAACAAACTGCCAATCAAAGCTGGAGAGGTCAGGGGGGACCAAATTAGGAGCCCTCTGCCATTTCCAAACTTGCTTGGCGAAGCTCAATTTAAATAAGAAAGCAAAAAGGTTATGAAAAATATTTTTTCACAATGAAACTCCCTGCTCAGCAGCAGAAAGGGCCACAGCCTCTGCTCCTTGGGGTGGCTGGTCTCTGTTCTGATGCATTCCAACTGGAAACCATTTCTATTTTGACTGTACCGGTGTCCACCACCAGCACGCAAAGAGATAATCAGAAAATAAAAGGCTTTTGTGTAGCACTTGCATAAATCACTGCGGCACCAATTACTGCATAGTCCCATGAACAGCAGGAGGCAGCGGCAGAGATGGGTGTCTGGTTCACGCCCACCCACTTGGGGCTAAAAGCCACCCTGGGCTTTAATCACTAGTCTCCGACTCTGTGTTCCTAGAACAGTCAGCTCCTGGGTCTATGTCACAAGTCAATGTTCAGCTCCTAAACACCAGGCAGTCTCTGGCCATGGACGATTTGAAGATGGAGGGCCAGCCCCGGGGGATGTTTCTGCCGGGCACAAATGCGGTCCCAAGCCAGAGTTTAAGACTGGTCCCTCAGCCCTGCATCATCAGCCTCACTACAACGGTCTCATGGCTCTGACATCCTCAGAAAGTTGTGACAATGGCAGAGGGACTGAGGAACATCTCCCTGCCCCACGACCTCCCATCACAGAAGATGACAGAGAAAGAGATGAGTGCCACCTTGTGCCAAAGCCACTTGACACTAAGCAGCCACCTCCTCCTCTTAAGGCTGAGTGGCGGGTTGTTGGCATAGCAAGATGCTGGTGCCTACGTTCTTGGCCTCTCACAGAGGGCCAGGACTGCTCCAGGAGTCCTCGGAAGCAAGCACCACAGCTGAGGTTTCCTTTCCCCGGGAAGGGTTCGGCAGAGGTGACCCCACCGAGAAGCCTGCCATGGGGTGGCCCTGTGGTCAGACCAACAGGAAGGGGTGGATGAATGAGAAGTCTTGTGCCGGTCTTGCTGGTTCCACTGCTTGGAGGGGGCAGGGTAAAAGAGGTAGGCACCGTCACCACTGCTGGGAGGAGCTAGGCCTTGAGTCAGCTGTCCCCTCTCTCTGAATACCTACTGGTCTCTCTACCCCAGGTGGCCTTTGGGCAAATCTACCTGGGATCTATTTTGTTTCCATAGAGGGACCTCAGACATGAGGTGGGGCCTGACTACCTCCTAGAACAGTGGTGGTGAACCTATGTGTGCTACCGCTAGCTGTTTGCTATCATTGAACGCTCCAAAAGGTTCGCCATCACTGTCACAGAGGGTCAAAGCCAGGAAGGGTCACACACTGTGCCCAAAGGTGCTGCCAAAAGCAGAAGAACTGCGCTATATCCAGAGCAAGGAGCACAGGCCTCTGGCCCAGCCATGATCCCAAAACCAGCCAAGGGAGGACACTTCCCGGACACCTTGGTCTGGCCCTGGTGGAGAACAAGCATTTCTTTAAGGATCATTATTTTTAAAGCAGAGTAAACGTGCAGGAGAATTTGCCTGATCCAGGAGCTCCAGAGTGCAGTGCCTTTCAATTGAGAAAAAACAGGCTGTCCAGCAGTTCTGAATGTGGTTTAAGAAATAACAAACAGAAAAAGAAGAAATTAAATGAGCAAAGGAGAATGAGAAGATTTTAGATATTTTCCTCTGATTCAAAGTTCTCCCTGAAACTTTGTGTGAGTGTGTAAGTGTATGAGTGTGGCTGTATGTGTGTGTGTGTGTGTGTGTGTGCACGTGTGTGCAAAGGAAGCACAGGGGAAGTCTGCACGCCCTCCCAGAAATAATTCATTTATTTACTTCAAATGTTTTCCAGACACCTCCTGGGGGCGCTTGCCTGGCCACCAGCACTAGACTTGTGTCCCCTCAGCCAGCAGGCGCCTGCTGAGTCTTTTATGTACTACTCCCCAAGTCTCAGAGCTAAAACTGCACACTGCACAAATGTCCCTCCCCCGAAAGCCACACCAACACGTGCCACTCTCATCCACTGCAGAGGGCAGGGCTGTGAGTCAGGGCTGAACCCTGAGGGCTGTTCTGCAGGGCCTGTTTCCAAGGGGCACAACGGCAGGAAGCTCATAAATGCCGCCCAACCACGTGTCAGTGGCTGAAGGAGACACAGCCGGATAGTCAGCCACATTCTTCCAGTGACACCAGTTCCTGCTCCATACCAAAGAGCTTGCCAGTACCTACAGCAACCAAACAAATCAATGACAAAAAGTGGAGGAAAAGCCAGGTGAAGTGGTGCATGCCTGTCACCTCAATCTCTCTGGGAGGCTGAGGCAGGAGGATCACAAATTAGAGCCCAGCAGGGCAACTTACTCACTTTGCAAAAACCTGTCTCCAAAAAAGAAAGAAAAAGTGATACATGCGTACCTGTTTATGACAGCACAATTCTGTGCTCACTTTGGCAGCACAATTCATAATAGCTACATCTTGGAAGCAGCCTATATACCCATCAACAGGTGAATGGAAGAAGAAAACCTGGTGTTTATATACAATATATACAACGGAGTGCTACTTTGCTGTAAAGAAGGATAACTCTGAGGCATTTGTAGAAAAATGAGTGCACTTTGAGACCATAATGTTACATGAAATAAATCAGGCCAAAGTTTAAATATCACATCGTTTCTCCTACGTGTGAAACCCACTTTATATATAAAGGCAAAATAAAAGATAAATATTAAGAAGTAGGGAGACAGAGCTTTTGTAAATGGGAAGGGGACCAGGAGATGGAAAGGAATGGGTAGGGGAAGGGGATGAAAAAAATTAAGACGCGTTATGTGTGTGCACCAACTCCCCATTAGGAATGGGGTCATTACGGACTGCAAATGTGTACTGGCAAAAAATAAGAATTGGGGGAAAATGTTTTAAAAGGCGCTGGGTAATGAGAAAGCCTTGGATTCAACCTCCAGTAACTCAGAGTGAGAGGAAGAAAAAAAAGAAAAAGAAAGGAAGGAAGGAAAAGAGGAAGAAAGAAGGGGTTAACTTCAAGGGCAAAAAGGTCTTTTCCAGAAGGTTGTATGCACAAGATGTGGGTCAGTCCTTTGGCATCCATCAGCCCAAAGCAAAGTTTAATGGGGCCCTCTTCAGCCAGAGCCGCCCAAACCCAAAGTCTAGCTCTGCTAGGGACAGTTGTGTGTGGCCTGCGCAGGCCTCAGCAGGCCTCACCTGCCAGGCTCCAGCGGGCTGGAGGTCACACGCTGGCCGCCACACCTGCCGACACAGCCCTTCCCGGGCAAGAGACCAATGCCACCAGCCCCTGACAAAAAAAAGCTGCTCAAGCAGCGAACAAGAGAAGGGATTCCCCACAGGAAGTTCCTTAAATTGAGGGAGGTGCAGGGACACAGGGAGCAGACGGGACACATGCCCCAGGGGTGACGACCAGGAGCAGCCAGCTTCAAGCCCCTGAGGACTGAAGGGTGCTCTGGTGTGGGGCCCACCTACCACCCTCTGTGCAGCCCCCACAGTAGAAGAAAGTGCTGCCAGCACAAGAACACGTTTTGCCCGTGAATTACTAGAGGAGAACCCCCAAATCGAGCCTTCGCAGGGACTGAAGGCACCAACATCTCCTCCCTTGGGGGTCCCTGATTTTCTGCCTTCCTCCAAGGAAGTCCTAATTACATCAGTTAGTTGTCTGTGCTTCTTCCCAACAGTCCGGATGGCCAACGGCCTCCCACCTCCTACTATTGAGCCAGTGCTGCTATGGACACAGTGGACAAGATCAGGATCATTTCAAATACAAGCCGTCCCTCTGCATGATGAGACACGTGGCCAGGACCCTTGTGGGTGCCCCCAATCCTCAAATGCTGGAGTCCTTTGTATAAAACGCGGTAGTAACCGTGCACCCTGGGCACATCCTGCCATAGCGTTACACCACCACAGACAGCTCACGACGCCCCCTGTGATGTGCGTGCTGCGGAAACGGTGTCTGGGGATGGTGTCTGGGAGGAAGCCTTGTTCGCACAGGCAGTTTTTTATGCAGATGCTTCTGACTGACTGATGGTAGATCTGAGAATATGGATCCCACAGGTACAGTAGCTGCCTCCATGTATCATGGCGTGGGCCACTTCTGTCACTCACAGAGAAACAAGCCTCCACGGGTGCCATCTCCCAGGAGGCCCTGTGACAGCTGCGTTGACAACGTGCTGAGTCAGCCAGACTGAGGCTCCCAGGAGCAGTGACCTACTGGCTCCTACTGGCTCTGGGGCCTCCCAGCCAGCCAGCCAGCCAGCCATGGGCAGACTCACAGGCCTTCCCACGGAGGTGCAAAGTAATCTTTGGCCCAGTACCCACCAAACCCAAAGGACACAGCTGGTCAACTGTTCCAGGAGCCCTGGACCTTGCAGACACACAGGATGGGCCAAGTGTATCTGTTTTCCTTGGAGAGCACAGGGATGCCGTCCCGGACAGCTGGGCATGAGCCCAGGGACTGCTGCAGCAACTGAGCCCCCAGGTGCCCGCCAGCAGCCTCCCTATGTGGCCACCTGGTGAGGCTGGTTAGGGAACAGCAAACCACTCTGACTTCCCAGGTCCTACAGCCTAGGCCAGCTTCTCCAGCAGCCACAGATCCTGCGCTGCCCTTTGCTGGCTGCAAGGCCAGGATGCCAGAAGCTTCATTTCAACACACGAACCAGTCCTGAGGCTACAAGAAGAGGGGCAGAAATGTCAGCTGCTGACCCTGTCCCCAGAACAGGGGGCAGAAATGTCAGCTGCTGACCCTGTCCCCAGAACAGGGGGCAGAAATGTCAGCTGCTGACCCTGTCCCCAGAACGTTCCCCAGAACGTTACTGAAAAATATTACAGGAATGGGATGGTGAGCAACCCCGTGAGGCCTCCAGGCCAGGTCAGTCCCTCCTGGATTCCCAAGACGATGGCCTAGGGGTTCTGCCCTCCACGGGTGACTGGGAGCCCTGAAATTAGGCTGCAGGGAGCTAGAGCCCCAGGCCCATGGGCGGCCCCCTCCCCCATGTCAGGCCTTGCACCCACACCCAGAAACCTGGCTCACATTCCCTAAATCCCAGAAAGACGACCGGGAGAGGCTGTTTTCCTAAGTTCACAGGAACACCAGGAAAGTGTTATCCTCAACCTGACCTTGACTAAGCTCTGGAAGCTTCTGCCCAGTACACTCCGCCCTTAACAACAGGGTCTCTCGGAAGGACCAGCATGGAAGACCAGCGCCAAAGACACTGTCCCACCCCAAGGCGTCACCATGGTGAGGAGAACCTGCCCAAGACTGCTTCAACATGATTTCCCAAGACCTGAAGCTCCAGACCAGTGGTCGGACCGGAACAACCTCTGCAGGCTTACAGGGCTCCTAGCACTCTGGGGCATTGTTTCCCAGTGGGCCTACCCTACTCCTCCTCTGTCTTCTTAATGTGCTAAAATACAGGGGAGAAAAATTTACCGTACCAGTTATCTTGAAGGGCATGGTTCCATGTTAAGCACCTCCACAGCACAGTGTGACTATCGGTACTGTCTGTCTCCAGAGCCTTACAGTCACAAAACTGAACTCTGTCCCCACTAAACCAAGGCTCCTGGCTCCCTGCCACCCTCCCCTAGCCCTGGAACCCCTACTCTCATGTCGTCTCTATGTGTCCGATGACTCTAGAGACCTCGTGGGAGTGGAATCACAAAGGGCTTGTCCTTTGTGACTGCCTTACTTCATGAGAGGCATGACATTCTCAAGGCCCAAACATGTCACACTAGTGCTAGAATTTGCTTCCTTTGTAAGTAGGAATAATACTGTTTTCTCCTTCCTCCATTTCTCCCTCCCTTCTTTCCAACCTTTTCTTTTTTTCATTGCTGGGGATGGAACTCAGGGCCTCACACACACTGGGCAAGTGTACATGACTAAGCTGCACTCCCAGCCCTAATATTCCACCTCAGGGATCCACGACTTTGCTTGTCTGTTCATCCACTGGTGGGCACACAGGTTGTCCCCACACCTTGCTAGGACTCTGGTTGAGTCCCATCTCTCGGTCCTTCTCAGTCTCTTCTTATTTCTCATATTTTATTTGGATGCTAAATTATCTGTGTAATAACATTTAAAAATCATCTGCGTAATAACATTTTAAAAAAGCAGGAGGTCTACAAAGTAAAGTCCAGACAAGGCCACTGCTGAGAGTTGGCGGCCTGTCCTGAGGCTGTGCGGCCACACAGGGCAAGTGGAGAGGACAGGAAGCAGGCTGTACCCAGCTGACCATCACCCCGGGTGGGACGCCAGCCATGCACTTGTGCTTTGGGGCCAGAGGCCAGGCCTGTCTAGGAGCTATCCAGTCTGCAAGGAGGCTGCTGCTGGCTCCAGACGGGGTTGGCTGGGCTCCACCACCAGACCTCAGAGAGGAAGCAGGGATGAGCGGGGAAGGCGGAGGGGCCTAGGCTGCTCCCCAACAGCACACAGCCAGTTTTCAGGCACTGGCTGGTTAAGAGTCCCATCCTGCAGGGCTTTGGGGAGCCAGCAGGGGAGGAGGGGACGAGGCAGGCAGGTGGGGAGGGCCAGCACTGCAAGGAGGGGTGTCTGGGAGCAAGGGGGCAGGAGGAGGAGGCCCCGCAAGCAATGGCCCCTGCAGATCTGGGAGAAGCCTGCCATCTGCTGGGCACCTGGAGCTCCCTCCCAGGCTGACGTGCCACTACCACGTGACAGTGACCGGGCGACAGCATCTGCCATCCTCCCCACCACAGGGCACGGGGGCAGCTGAAGTGGGTGTCGGGGCTGTGGGGAGGAGGAAATGAGCGCGGCTCTCAGTGCCCTGGGCCCAGGTCTGTCCCCACCATGGCCGGCCGCTGCCTCTCCGCAGGCTCCTCGCCCTGCCCTGCCCTGCCCTGCCTTGCCCTGCCCTGCCCTGCCCTGCCTGTGGCATGTTAATCCGTCCTTTCTCCCCGGGGGGCCTGATGGAGCACAGTGACCTCCCAGGAGTCCCCGGTGGCTCTGACCCTCTGCGTCACTGCTGTTCTTGACAGCTCATGGAATTGTCACTTTCACCTCCCAGCAGGGGGACTCGTGGAAGGGGAATCCATATTTTTCACAGCCTCACCACGAAGGGGATGCTGAGGGCCTTCCCTCCACATCTCCCAAAACGGGGCTATGACCCAAATCAAGCAGTGGCCGTTGGAACCATGGACACTGGGAGGGGGGGTGTCACTTGACACTGGTCCGGGCAGCCAGCCAGCCTTGGAGAGAAACGAAGTTACCAAAAATAATCCTCCCTGTGTTTAAATATTTACAGAGCAAGACACATCCTGACGCCGTCACCGTCCACTGGGCTCTGCCTGCATCACAGCACCAGGAAGGCCGTGCTTCCCACCTGCCCCTTTGCAGCGGGATCCCTGGTGTACTTGGCCTCTCTTCCCGTGACCATGAAACTTGCAGCCCTCCCTGCTTCCAGAGCATTCCCACGTCCAACTTGCCACTCTCTTGCCACCTTACCCATCCCAGGGCCTCCCTCCTGTGTGTGTGTTCTCCGGCTCCAGAGCCCCTCCAGTCTGCATACCATTTTGGACACCATTGATCAGAATGGAATGGAAATGGCATGAGCTCATCAGCCCCCAAGGCTGGTCTCAATTCCCCTTCTCCTGAGGACCCAAGGGCGGGTGATGCCAAGACAAACACAAGAGCCACACAAATCCCTCAATATGCCAGGTCCGCTGCTGATCCCAAGACCTGGCTTTGGAAGCCCCTTCTTGGTCAGTCTCAGAGGGAGGTTCTGGTACCAGGTCCATTATGCAGATGATAGAGGAGAAACTGAGACAAGGAGGGTAGTGACTGCTGGGGCAAGGTTGGGATATAGCCCAGGGGGGCTCCAGGGCGCACATCATGTAGGGACCACTTACATCACCAATATCTAAGAAGGGCAAAGATTTGCTCTAGGCCACTGGTCAGCCCCATCCCCGCCACAGGTCAAAGGGCAAGTGGCTGTGACAGGTGTGGCCAGGAAACGTATTTTCAGGTTCCCTGAACAGATTCCCTGAAGCAAGGATGTGCCTCCTGGACACAGGCGGAAGGGGCCACCGAGAGCCCCCTGTCCCCTCATCTGCAGCTCAGGTGCTCTGGAGATCTTGGCTGCACAGCCTGGAACCTCATATGAAAACAGCCACTCTGTCTACTTTCTTGTGAAGGCAAACAGAACCGGATCGGGGACAACTCCACCATGAGACAGACGCCACCTCCCCATGCCTTTCCTGGCTTTCTGGAGAGTTGCATCAGGCATTGGGTTACATTGCAACAGCCAACCTGCCTCCCCAGAGGAGCAGAGTGAGCTCCCTGACGCCCCAGGAAGCCTGCCACGTCACTGCCTCCGGGGGTCTGTGACCTCACACTCGGGTCTCTCAGAAGCTCACGTGGGCTCCCAGCCCCTGGGGGGCCCTGCTGATGCAAGAGCCAGGTGTGGGAGGGGGTGCATGGGCTTGGCATCCTGCTCCCGTGGCAGCTGGTGCACTGGAGCAACTCAGCCCCTCAGAGTGTCCCCACCCTGCGCAGCCAGCCACGGCCCAGGCTGCTCTCAGCGGGAGAGGCTGCCACTCTTCATTTCTGGGCCCTCAATGGCCTTCCTGCCGTGTGCGGGAGCAGTGGTCCCTGGGGACCGCCTCTCCAGGGGCTGGAACTTCCTCCCTTCTGCTCAGCTCAGGAGGGTGGGTCACATATTCCCTCCCGATCCTGGCAGCTTTAATAGAAAGGGGTCAGCTTTTAAAAACCTGCTGGTGCCCAGTGGGCCATCAACAACAGCGTGCCTTCAAATCGAACCTGCCAAAGGTAGTAGCTCCGCACGGCATCCCAAGTCTGGCGCCTTGGGTGACATTTATCAGTGAGTTCTGGAATTCTACTCACAGGAGTCAGGCTGCAGGACCCCTAGCAGGGGAACGGAACCTTTTGCTGCCAGAAGCTCCTTAGCTGTGCAGGATAATGCAAGAGGGGAAGTCTACGAGATAGCTGGCCAGAGAATAGCGAACAGAGAACAGTGAACAAGACCCTCCCTGTATAGGCCCGTGCCAGCCAAGGCAGGGGCTCTGGACACTCACAACCTCAGCCCTGATGGGAGGTAAGCCCATCCTCAGTGGGCTCCAAGTCCAAGGACACACTGACCCTACGCAAAGACAGAATGTAAAAGCTCCCTCGGGGATGCCTTTGTATCAAGCACATACTGCAGTGATGCTATTGTGGGTACCCTGGGTAGTTACTGCAGTTCAATTATCTGTTTTCTTTTTACTTTTACGAATGTGGCTACGAGAACTACATGGATATTCCTGATTTTGGACACAGGTGCACAAGTGACCTGTGGAGGCTGCATGGCCTTTTCCACAGAGTGCCGGACCCCAGGACATCTCCAGGAAAACCACCTCACACCTTATCCCCGACTTAACTCCAAATGTGTCACAAATGTAACTGTAAAGCATGCAGCTGTAAGACATTTGGGAAAACACCAGATTCTCTTCAGGTCTTGGGACTGGGATATCAAAAGCATGGTATGTTGGATGTCAACAAAATGAAGTATTTTTTGCTTTGTGAAAGACCTTGCTACTAGGATAGAAAGATAACTAGAGTCTGGGTGAAATACCTGCAAATCAGATATTTGACAAAAGACTGGTTTCCATACTATATTAAAAATTCTCCAAACTCAATAGTAAAAATAAAACTGACAAAAGCCATTAGAATATGAACATTTCTGTATGAACAGTTCACTAGAGGGGAATCACAGATGGCAAATAAGCCCATGAAAAGCTACTTAGCACCACAGACCTTCAGGAAAATACAAGTTAAACCATACAGAGACCTGGTTCCACACCCATCAGACTGACAAAAGGAAAAAAAAAAACAGAACAGGTGAGCCAGGCAGTATGTCTGTGGTCTCAGATACTCAGGAGGCTGAGACAGGAAGATTCCTTGAGTTGCTGAATTCCTCATGGGCCAGCTTGGGCAACATCTTGAGACTCTATCTCAAAACAAAACAAAATGAGCTGGGCATGGTGGCACATGCCTGTCATCCCAGCACGTAGGAGGCTGAGACAAAACGATCGCCACAAGTTCAAGGTCAGTCTGGGCTACATAGTGAGTTTGAAGCCAGCCTGAACTACATAGCAAGACTCTGTCTCCAAAACAAAACACAACAAATCGTTATAACATCAAATAGTGCTAAGGGTTCAGAAAACTGGATCATTCATGAATTAAAAAATGGTATAACTCCTCTGGAAAACAGGCAACATTTGTTTGGTTGGTTGTTTTGGTACTGGAAATTGGATGCAGGGCCTTCCCACTGAGCTACATTTCCAGTTATTTTTTATTTTTTCAGAGACAGAGTTTGGCTAAGTCACTACGTTGACTAGGTTGACTTGTGATTTTCCTGCCTCAGCTTCCCAGAGTTCTGGGATTACAGGCATCTGCCACCATGCTTGGATGCAATTTTTTTTTAAGTAACTAAACAATCAGCACCATACAACCCAGCAATTGCATTCTTGGGAATTTATCCCAGAGAAATGACACCCTCCACTGAGACAAAAAGCAGTACATGAATGTTCCCAACAGCCGTACTTGTAACAGCCCCAAACCACAGACAACTGGTGTCCTTGGAGTGGGGATCACACACATAGGTCCTCCATGGCAC